ATAAGAAGCAGGAAAGGTGAAAATATGATTCATGAAGTACAACCCCAGTGTCACTGATAGGGGAAAAACTTAAGCTATTTATCTTACTGGTAGACTTGGCAAGGGAAGGCCTACGGAAGGTTTCAGTAGCATCTGTCTTCATGTCCTAAGAGCATATTTTAAAATTACAAATTCAACATAAATAGACGCAATCACCTTTGGAATTCTGGATTAAAATAGACCAAGACTATAATAATTCCCAGTAGGAAATGAAACTATTGATGGGGTATATACTATATTTCAAGCCATAATTATATTCATTAGCAGAATGAAACTTACATATACATAGGTATATCTCTTACTCAGCACCAGGAACTGCCTCCCTCCCCAATACACCACACTGCCACTTGAGGATTTCCCTCCTTTCTTCCTTGACCTTTCTATCTCTCTTCCCCCTTCACCAGTGTAGACATCGCTGTTACTAGAGAATCTTCCTCCTCACCTTAACCAGCCCATGTAGTTCTTAGTGTCATTTTGTAGGGAAGCTAGTTGGCAATAAGTCTGAAGTAGTAAGGTGAGTTCTGGAAGGAGGGAAAGAGAAGAAGAGGGAAAGGAAAACACACTAGCCCCTGTCTAGCGCTCAGTTTCTTCTCCCTTCCTAGAAGGAAAGGAAAAGTTCTTCCTTATTTGGAGGAGGAGGAGGATAAAGGCTTCTGCTCCATAGCTGATTGCTCTATTCTCACCATTTTCTACCTTACTCTTTATCCCTAAGTATTTGTCATAGCTTCTTACTCCAGAAGCCCACCGCTTTTGTCTCATTTTCATCCCTTTTCCCCATCTCTTAGCCTTCCATTCCCTGGCATGCCACCTTTCCTCAAATTCCAGTCCATAGCCTCAAGTAGACTGGAGCCACAATCAGTGGCTTGAAGATAGTGGAATCCTCACTCCTCTCCAGCAGACAGAAGATCATGTGGAAAATATAAATAAATTGTGGCATCTTGAATATAATTCCATATTGAGATATCCTCAGTTAGGCTCCATTAGTAAAGAACAATATGTATATTTTTAAATAGCATTTTATAAACAGGACTATAAACCTAATCATCAGGTATAACATCATTTGGAGGAGAGAAAGGGGAATTGAAAGTTTCAAATATTCAGTTTATAACTGAATTTATGAAATGCATGAAGAATAACCATATAGAGAAAAGAGTTTCAAATATAGAGTAAGGGGATATGGGTTCAAGTCCAAAATCTTACAGTGATTTGCTTTCTAACCCTAGACAAGCTTAGCTTCTCTAAATTTCTTCATCTATAGAATGGGTATAATTATACTGGCACTACTTAACTTACAGAGTTATTATGAGAAAAGTTCACTTATAAACCCTAAAGTTCTATATAATTGGTATTATTACTATTGATATTTATTGGGAGTAGCTATATAAACAAATTTAGCTAGCCTAGTTAACCACTCAATTTTTGAATCCTAGAAATGTCATAGATTTTAAAATAACTGTGCTCATTTAACCCTAATTATTTTTCAAATCTCTCAATCTTGCGTAGGAAAATCTTGTGTAGAAAAATCAATAATATGCTGAAATACAGCAAATAGCTAAGTAATGCAACATTACCTTTTTTATTTGAGTATATAATTTTAAGACCTCAAATCTTATAAAATTAATGATTTTAGGGTATTCTCTCTAGCCAGCCAAGGTTTGCAGTAATGGGGATAGGCTAAGATAGAGTAAAAGACAAATCCTCCACCTCTCAATGTGTCTTCCCACTCCTTATCTTCTGATTCCTAAACTGTTCTTCACCATCTAGGGGGAAAGAAAAGTGTATCCTGCTGCTTGCCAAAGAGGAAAAGGGGGAACAAAAGACATTCAAAGAGTTTGATTCCAATTAAAGAATTTTAGAGCTAGAAAGAAACCATTTAGTCCAATCTTCTCATTTTACTGATGAGGAAACTGAGGCCCAGAGAGGTACAGTGACTTCTCCATGGTCACAGGGGATGTTAGGGGCAGAACTGGACTTTGTGATATAGGAGAAACTGGAAATGAAAGTCAGGAGATCTCGGTTTGAACCAATGTGGTACAACAGGAGGAGTTGGAGATTTGGAATCAGAGAATCTGTTTGATTGCAAACTGCCACTTACATGCCGTATGATTTTGGGAAAGTCACAAACCTTCACAGGCTTTAATTTCCTCATCTGTTAAGTGAACCCACTTCCCATCCTAAATCTATGAACCTTTGAATCCAAGATCTTATATTTGCTCACAAAGTGACCTTAGGTTGTGTAAATGCACATTTGTATTATGCAAATCTGAGGTATTATTATTAAGTACCTCTTCTGTGCAAAACAACCTGAGCAGTATAATTATTTTAAGTATTATCATCATCATCATCATCATCATTATTATATCTATAAATTGAATCTTTGAAAGTTTCAGTACATTTGTCCATATAAACCATATTATATCCAGAAGCTAAATTCCTAAGCTATCCAATAAAAAAATTATTCAATTGAAAACATACTTGAGTACTACGTGATTTAAAAAGAAGATAAGTTAATTGGCAATAACATGACTTCATTACAATTCTCTTCACAGTGTTTCAAAGTTTCAAAGGGAATTAGAAGCAAAGAAAAGATATATAAATCCTCAAGAAGGTACATAAAATGCTACTGTTCAAGGCACTGAAAAATTCTTTCAGTGAAGCGTTCCATATAATGTCAAGTTTGGACACTCGCCTTGACAACTAAAGCCATATTTTAAGAAAGAGAAATCAGGAATGAAATTATAAGCTTAGTCACTACCTGCTACTAGAATTGGTACTATTGTGTGAAATATCAGAAATGGTGTCAAGGACAGAATAGTTCATGCAGGTACAATTTCTTTCTTGCACTGGAAAGTGATTCTGCATTATGATTGAAATAATTTGAGGAAATTTACATTGCAAGGTTATGTTTCAACTCCACCCCTTCTGAAATGCTTCTTTTTTATCTGTTAATAAGTATTAAATTCATTTTAGAAAAGAATGTTATCAATATAAATCTTTCTTTGCATTTATATATCTCTACCTGTCTATTCTCTCTATCTCTATGGTTCTGTCTCTGTATCTCTGTCTCTCTGCCTGTCTCTATCTCTTCCCTATCTCTGTCTCTCTCTGTGTGCCTTTCTGTCTGTCTCTCTGTCTCTATTTATCTCTCTGTATGTATCTCCGTCTTAGCACCTAAGAGCCCATGTATTCAACATACACTTGAATAGGAATCCTTCTTTACAACATCCTGCCATACATGTCATCTGCTTAACATCACTCAAAGACATCCAGCGATAGGAAACTTACTACTTCTAGGACCAAATTTTGGCAGCTATAATTATTGGGCAGATTTTTCTTCCATCAAGTTGAAAGCTGACCCTTTGCAACTTCTGTCTTCCAATTAATACTTCAAATCACTGACAGAATCATTGTTTTTTTATTTTAACATGCAGATCTGGTCATATTACTTGACTATTCAAAATTCTTTAGTGACTCACTATTGCCTCCCTAGTAAATGTCAAATTTATTTTCCTGGCCTTCAAGACCTCCATCATTAGGCACCACCATATTTTTTTTTCAGTCTTCTCATATTAGTACTCTCTATGCATTCTAAATACCAGTCAGACTGAATAGTTCTCTAACCACACAACAAGAACCTTGCTCTCACCACTCCATGCCTTAGTTAAGAGTTGTTCTCTGTGCTTGAAATGCATTCCCTATTCATCTTTTCCTGTGAAGCTATCTGTTCTTTACTCAGATATCATATCCTCCAAAAAACCTTCCTACATCACCCCTTTTTGGGTGATGACTTCCCCCTTAACTCTTGGAAAAATACTTCATTTTATAACTTTCTAATTCACTTATCATGTAATTGTGATTTATGGCTATCTGTATTGTATCATTAGACTGTTACCTTGAGCCCAAAGACAGGTTTTGTTTTGTCTTATTTTTTGTTTTGGGGGGTTTTTTTGCCTTTACTTTTATCCCCTGGACTTAGCCCAGTGCCTAGCACATAGTAGACACTTATTAAATGCTCGTTACCTTGCCTGACTGTCATCTCTCTACTAAGTTTGTGGGCTTGTTAAGAATGGGGATTGTGTCTTATGGAAACTTTTCATCTTCCCCCAGAATCTAGCATAGTACTCTATACACAGTAGGTACTTAATGAATACTTGTTCATTGACTGATATGAGTATAAGCAATAATTTTAAATGGTATCATTCAGCAAGCTTTTATTCAAGTATTCCTTAAGAATGTAATATTTTAGCTAGACATCGTGATAAAATGATTAGGCAAGTATAGTGATTCTTATCTCTTCATCATCACAATAATTTGGGAAATCCCCATGTTGAACACTATTTCCTTTCTGATTTCATACCGTGTTTTGCTGAGATGGAAAAGATAAGCTGACAAACTAGTCATAGATTCAGTGAGAATTTAAGTGGGTTTTTATTGCATAAAGAGCTCTTGATATTTTAAAAGTTGTCATGTCTGTGGACACTGAAGTGTTATATTAGCCTTTATGTTGTAGAAATTATCACTGATTGGTATTCTTTAAGGACTGAGGTTAGATGATTGTTTTACGTCTCTGCTCATTGAATTAAATAGATATAATTAAGGATATTAAATTTAGCAAGCATTTAGTGTAGGATATATTTTCAAATGAATAAAATTATGTTTATGATAACGTAAAAAAATGATAAAGTAATTTCTTTTTCAATCAGCTTCGCTCTTGAAACTTTCTCCATGTTGGACAGCATTGGAATAATAAATATTTATTTTTTTGTAACTTTAAAACCTAAAGATATAACTTAAGTCCAAGGATTCAGATCAATTATACAGTTTGATTTTAGTTCTCAGAGTCAAAGACTACTAGATGGCCAGAATCATGTGCATGTGATAATTCCAGGCCACTCTCTGTAAATAATACATGTCATTTCTGCTTCACCCTCACTGACTGCTCCAAATTACTTTCAATTCAGGGCCCAGCCTTCTCTCCCAGAGTGCACTTCAGCTCAATTCCAAACCTGAAGGGTCTTTCCAGTACTCAGCCAGCTACCATAGCAACCAGACCCTTGCCCTGGGTGAAACAACACCTTCCCAACTCCCAGCTCGAAGCAGTCAAGCCAGAGCTGCTATCCAGAGCTTCAGCCAGGTACGTGTCAGAGCAATGTTGCATACTTGGTCTCACACACACACACACATACACACACACACACACACACACACACACACACACACACACACACAGAGAGACTACTTCAGCTATATTTTTGAGGAGGGTGGGGATAGTTTGTTATATGTTTATAAATTTATATCCTTATCCACATATGATTTTTTTTTCCTAATAGGGGGAATGGGAAGGAAGAAGCATTTATATAGTGCCTCCTATGTGCCTGGCACTGTGCTAAGTGTTTTATAAATGTTATCTCATTTGCAAAATATTATCTTTACAAATATTATATTTGATACCTTAAGTAAATTAGTAAAGATGTTTCTGAATGTTGTAAGTTACTAAAAATATGAATATAAAATGAAACTGAATTACAGTTTTAAAAATTCTATTTTATGCTATCTCCCTTAATGTATCAGTTTAGAATACACATGTAGTATATGTATTATACATGTTTGTTTTTATTTATTCATGTTTATATGTTATACACACATAAACACATATATACAAAGCATATATGGCAATATACACATTAATATACACATACCATCTTAATGACAAATATAAGTGAGTATTTGATTACTTTTATTTTTGGATTTTCCACATTAATTTCTTTTATACAATGTTTTTTTTTCCATAAAACTGTCACTGATGAATTGTTTGACTGTTGTGCTTTTAACTCCATTTTCCCCTAAATCCTAGTGCTTTTATTTCATGGTTTTGCATAGTGGGGTGCTTTTTAGGAATTCATATGTCACATTATAGCAGAACTATATTTATATAAATATAGATAAATACACATTGAATATGTGTGTGAACATATATATTCAATGTGACAATATATGTATGTGTGTACATATATATATGTGTGTGTGTGTGTGTGTGTGTTATTGTTGTTCAGTTGTTTCAGTTGTCTGACTCTTCATAACTCTATTTGGAGTTTTCTTGGTAAAGACACTGGAATGGTTTGCCATTTTCTCCTCCAGATCATTTTACAGATGAGGAAACTGAAACAAACATAGTTAAGTGACTTGTCCAGCGTCACACAGCTAGTAAGTGTCTGAGGCCAGATTTGGACTCAGGAAGATGAATATTCCTGACTTCAGGCCAGGCTCTCTCTCCATTGTACCATTTATATGTGTGTTTGTATGTGTGCATGCATGTATGTATACGTGTGTTTGTATGTGTATGTATATATCTATATCTATATCTATATATATTTGCATATATATTCAATGTGAAGCACTACATTAAAAATAATTTATAGAATCCACCCAGGAAAAAAGAATCTGAAAGAAAAAGAAACATTCTTTCCCAAAGTACAGCTTTTTATAAAACACATACATGGATGAATTTGTTTTGTTACATATGAATGAGAGGCTATAATAAACAGAAATTTGTAAATGAAATAATTGAAGAATCTGAAAACTATTTTTGCTAAAAGTAAAATTAAATCTTGTCCAAGCTGAATTTTTGCTATCAGGCATTGCTTTATGATGTGTGCAAAGTATGCTTTGGTTAAAATATATTTTGGAGTATTAAGCAAATGGTCAGCATATGTAATCATCTTGGAGTTAAATTGTTCAAACAAAATGGCTACCATTAAAACTAGTTGTTAGTATGATGAATTGACTACAAATGTGGGGTTTTTTTTAAAAACATTGGTTGTGAAAAGATGTTACTAATGTAGTTTTACATTCCACTTTCCTGTGCTAATACTACATCAATTTAAAAAACCTTCAAAAACTTAAGTAGTTGTTTGATTTTATGCAAATTTGCTAGGACCTTTGAATAGAGTCCAGTAAGTGAAAGAATACTGAATATGCAAAAGAAGACCAGCAACTGAAGAAAGTCCCAGCTACTCACTAAGTACTATTTCTGTGACTATGAGAAAGTCTCTTAACCTTTCTGGGTCACATTTTCTTCATATAATGAAGGAATTGAAATAGAAATTCTTTGCAGTACCTTCAACTATAAATGCTGTGATTTTTTTTTCATTTAATATCACCTTCTTCCACTTGATTTATTTTTCTTCAAAAAATTACATTTTTTATTGCAATACGTTTTCCCCTTTTTCTTCTCCCTCTGTATGAATGGTTGAAAGTATAATCATAAAATTTTATATACTCAGTAAGTAGGTTTTTTTCCCCTTTAGCTCCAAATTATTATTCTTCTAAAGTCAGTTGCTAATATAAACTAATTTGCATTGTTTATTTTAGCAATCTGAGTATTTTCAATTGTGGTCTCCTGTGCCTGGAACACTCTTCCTCTTCGTATTGGCCTTTTGGTCTCCTTGGTCAATTTCAAGTTTAACCTAAAAGGCCAATGCTTTCAAGAAGCCTTTCCCAATTTCCTTTAATATTCATGCTTTCCCTCTGTTGATTATCTCCATATGTGTATATACACACATACATATATATATATACATACATGCTTATGTGTATATATACATTTAGAGATAATCAAAAAAGGAAAAACATGAAATCTTAAATTAAAATTAATAAATTTTAAAATAAATAAAAATTAAATATACAATATGCATGCACATATATGTATATGTGTGTATATTTGTGTGTGTATGTATATGTGCACACATGTGTATGAGTATGGAAATATATCCCTATTGATTATCATAAACATTATGTGTGTGTGTGTGTATGTATGTGTGTGTGTATCCCTGTGACTAACCTGGTAATAAGCTTCTCTTCATTTAGAAAAGGAAGTACTTAAAAAATAAACACGTTTTCCAAACCTGTCCTCAAAAACTTTTCCAGCTTGGTAGAAACATTCACATATGTCACTTCCCTGGCATAATCTTCAAGAACCTAGGGAGGCATTTATTTCAGGGTGTGTTTGTTTTTCAATGAAGGGGGAAAAGAAGTAAGGGGTGTGTGAGAGAAAATAGATTTTTATAAATTGAATTAAACTACATAAAACTAATTAGATGAGATATTGGTCTAAGGCTTTGCAGGAGAATCATAAGGATTTTTCAAGAAGAAATTATAACAGTAGAATTTTATATAATTTATGCTCATATATGCTGTTGTTTCATTGTATAATGTGTAGGATAGTCAGTAGACTCTAACATGACAAAGATAGTCATCTTTTTCCTTCTTGAATATCTTTTGATTAAAAGGCAAAAGCTTTAGTCATCAATTGAAGAATCTGAGACCTTTAGGCAGAGAGAGCTTTTCTTTATGGACATCTTCAAAAATGCTACTGACCATCTAAAGTAGCCCATTATTTCTTCCTGAATTTCCCTGAAAACATCTTTTTTCATTTATTTTTTAACCAGGTGGGTTATTTCATGGTTGTAGGTAGCTCCCTCTGGGAAACTTTGTCTAACAGGGCACATCAGCATTTGCTCTGAACCTTAGAGTTATAAAGACCCAGAGGGACACAAAGTCATGTCACTTACCCAGAGTCACCCAACCTGTGTATGCCAGGGACAGGACTTGAACCCAGGTTTACTGGACTTTAAAGCCAGTTGTCCAGTGATTGTGCCATGCCACTTCTCTCCACTCACAATTTTTTGTTTCTTTGTGTGTGTGTGTGTTGTTGTTGTTGTTTTGAAAAGAAGCACGTGAACAGTTGGACAGCTTAAATTTTCAAGCTTACTGGTCCATTATTCTGAACCTATTAAGAACCTAGGACTTCAGTCATATTTTTTTTATGTTTAAATTCAAAGGGCACTTAATTCCACAAACATTTTTCTAACTGTAGACTATATGGAAGGCATACCAGAGACCTATACCATCATAGACCTAGCATAGGAAAACTAAAAATAAAAACTGCCCCTGCCCTCAAAGAGCAAAATTTACTGTGTAGAAATAAGGCTCAAGTTTTTACAAGCATCCTAAGACATGCAGATAATCAAATAAATAAAAATCCGACTTCCTATTTTTCTTTTCTTGTTTGTTCGTTTTATTTTTAGGCAATTGGGGTTAAGTGACTTGCCCAGGGTCACACAGCTAGTAAGTGTCAAGTGTTTGGTCTGAGGCTGGATTTGAACTCAGGTTCTCCTGACTTCAGGGCTGGTGCTCTATCCACTGGGCCACCTAGCTGCCCCAATATGTTCTTTTTGTTTTTTGTTTTTTGTTTTTTGTTTTTTAGGTGAGGCAATCAGGGTTAAGTTACTTGCCCAGGGTCACGCAGCTATTAAGTGTCAAGGATCTGAGGCTGGATTTGAACTCAGGTCCTCCTGACTTCAAGTCAGGAGCTTTATCAAACACTGTGCCATCTAGCTGCCCCTCTAACTATTTTTCAAATGTGTATTTTCACTTACATAGGGCCATTGTCCTTATGACACCAAAGAAACCAATAAAATGATTGTTTTTTTTTCTTTTTTTAATGTTCATCTCACTGATAAGATCAGTCAAACCTATTACATGGGTAATATGAAAATAGTCAATAGAAAAATGAAAAAAAACTAAGTCTATTTTTAACTCATTGTTTTGTCAGCCTACAGACTCAACCATTATAGAAAATCATCACACCATTAAAACAGTCAATGCACATCTTCCCTGTGACAATGAGACATTTTTCAGATATAAGTAATATGAATGAAACAGTCACAGTTTTATTAATAACAATGAGAATGTTTGAAGATGTAACCATTTCAGAAGAAAATCTCCCTAGCCTTATTGATAGTATTTCAGGAAAATGTATACTCATCTCAAGTGAGTTTACAGACAGAAAATCAAAATGAAATATTTCATAAGATTATATTATATTATATATATTATATGTATAACATTTTATATATATTATATATTATAAAGGCCACACTGGTGTTAGTGGCATGTGATAGACCCTCACTAATTCTAAATAGAATTAAATGAAATAGAAATTCAAAATGATGTTTTGAACGTTCACTGCAATTTTATTGTTTTGTTTGTATTTCTTTTTGTCAGTTTTCTCGATGCCTGTTGTTTGTCTAGCCCTCTAATTTTTATTTATATCCTCCTTCTTCCCTAATGTCT